AAAATGAAATTAAGCCAAAAAAAATATGAAAATACATACAATAATAAAAAAAGATTTTATGAATATTTAAGAGGACAGTAAAAGTTTATCCATAATTGATAAAGAATATATAGATAGGCATTTACGAACAAAAGAGATGCATGAAAATCTGAATAACCAAACAGTTCGGATTCTCGTAATTTGAAATTCAACGAACAATATTTTTTCGAAATGAATTTAACAATGTTTTCGCTAACAATAGCTGAATTGTGCAGCTTTTCTGCAGTATGCTCGAATCTCCTCAGGTGTTCTATTGTATTGACTAGTATTCTTGCAACTCGATTTTGGCGTTCTTTTATTCTCTCTTGGAATAAAATTACATCAGGCTCAATAGAAAGGAAACAAAAACAATGCGTTTTTGTTTTTATTTCCTTACTATTTAGCTAGTTTAACTTTTAATGACTGCGGAAAACCCTCCCACGATTTGCTGTGGTATTTTGTGGTTGCATTTGAAATTATATTGCATATTAGCCTCAGAACCGATAACCGTTGGGGAAAACGAGTTCTTGAGTGGAGACCGCGTCTCGGCAAACGTAGTGTAGGACGCCCACAGGCCAGGTGGAGTGACGATTTGCGCAAGATGGCTGGCAGGAGCTGGATGCGAGAAGCCCAAAATCGATCTAAGTGGCGTGCAATGGGAGAGGCCTATGTCCAGCAGTGGACTGCGATAGGCTGATGATGATGATGATGATGATGATGATTTGAAAAATGGATAAAAATAAGCTTAAAGGGGATTGTATATTGTGTCAAAACTTGAACTCAATCGGTGCTGAACTTATTGAGTTTTTTACAGCGCACACAACCCAACTAATCATTTTATATATATTGTTTTACAAGGATAACAGAGCAGACGAGTCATGTGAAAGGATGTGGTGACTACCACCCACCACGGACGCCTGCACCTAAAGTATTACAAGTATGCATATGTGCTTTAAAGTTAAATATTATGGAAACCTTGAAAATTAGCTACTTAACACTACAGTATATAGTCCAGATGTATTTTATGCCTCTCATACTGGTTTAGTCATGAAAGAAGACATAAAACAGTCGCAGTTCGACCGTTAAGCGATCTCTAGTGTTGTTAGTTCTTTGCGTTCAGTTTTATATCTTAGTTATATCATCATATTTAATATAATAATAATAACCTCACACATCTCACACACGGCCGTCTGATCTCAAACTAGACAGAGTCTGTACTATAGTAACCAGACTACTGATAAACATACTTATGTATGATTAAATACATACACGGATGGCGTAGTGGTTTAAGCGGTCGCAACGCCGTTCACGCCACATAGGACGACACTTTGTGTGATCCACAAATTTTTGTTCTGAGTCTAGGTGTTTTTTGTGTCCGTTTCATGTATGTTTGTAAAGTCCCCCGCGACACAGGATTTATTCCTAGTGCGGGAGTTGTCTTTTTAAAAGAGAAAGAGAAGAGAAAGAGAAAAAGAGATATTATAGATAAATTACACCCAGACACAGAACAAATGATCGTGTTCATCGCACAATTATTTGTTATGGATGGGAATCGAACCCACGACCTACGGCTTAGCAGTCAGGGTCATTAACCTACAGGCTGTCCAATATATATACTCGTAAATATGCTTTCAAAACAAAAATAAATCTAAATATAACTTTTTAAATTACGAGCTTTTATATTACAATGAATTTCAGAAGTCAAGGTAAAAAAAATTGGCAACGTAAAATAGTTTTATAATATTAAACCGCGTAGAGTGTAAAAATTGTTTTAGTTTTCAAAGTTTGGCCTTCCAAATTGTTTTGTTTCCTTCATCAAGTATGCCGCACGAGCCTTGGGCGGGTGCTGAACTCAAAATTACTTCCGTATGTTGTGGCCTCGGGAGCATCGACTTTGTTCTATTTATTGATATTTAAACTTGTTAAGTTCTCATGAGCCTTAGCAGTCATCATTTCAATAGGTCGTGGATTTCTTGATGTTACTAAAGAACGTGTCCAGCTGATGGTATGTGTGTATGCGACTGCACGGATGGCGTAGTGGTTTAAGCGGTCATCACGCCGCTTCCTACTACGCCGAGTGTTGTGGGTTCAAACCCCACATAGGACGACACTTTGTGTGATCCACAAATTGTTGTTCTGAGTCTGGGTGTTCTTTGTGTCCGTTTCATGTATGTTTGTAAAGTCCCCCGCGACACAGGATATATTCCTAATGCGGGAGTTGTCTTTTAAACACATAAACACATAACACATTATGCATGGTAGTTACGTACAAATTTCTATACGTTGGTCCGTTTGCGGGTCTAAGCACTATTACATCCTATTGTCACACTTTAATATTATACCTAATTGATTTTATTTCACATCAACAACCTTAAACAGTACACTGCTGGACATAAGCCTCTCCTTACAATGGAGGTTTTGGCCTACTATACCACGCTGGCCAGACGATTTGGTATAGGGTTTGTGTCAAGATTTCCTTATTTTTGCAGTGCTGGTGTACTGCGTTGTTTTGATCCCTTAGTCGGCTCTTACGACAACCACGGGATGAATTTTGGTAGTGACATTCCGTATTCTTAATCCGTCACTACACGGATACGGATTTTACTTACTGTTACATAACCCTCTTATGGGTCAATAACCTCAATAGGCACGTGCTTGAACATATACCTATACAAATAAATAAAATTAGAGTGTCTGTTTGTAATATTAAAATAACCGCTTTTTACTAAATGCATATGTATGTTTACACGGTACATATGCCAATCTATACAAATAAATAAAATTGGAGTGTCTGTTTGTAATATTAAAATAACCGCTTTTTACTAAATGCATATGTATGTTTACACGGTACATATGCCAATCTATACAAATAAATAAAATTGGAGTGTCTGTTTGTAATATTAAAATAACCGCTTTTTACTGAATGCATATGTATGTTTACACGGTACATATGCTAATCTATACAAATAAATAAAATTGGAGTGCCTGTTTGTAATAATAAAATAACCGCTTTTTACTAAATGCGTATGTATGTTTACACGGTACACATGCCAAAATAACATTTTTTTCAATTTTTGTCTGTCTGTCTGTTCCGGGTAATCTCTGGAACGGCTGGACCGATTTCGACGGGACTTTCACTGGCAGATAGCTGATGACATAAGGAGTTACTTAGGCTACTTTTTTTAGACGAGCTTCGCTCCGGGGCGTTGCCATCATAATAAAAGTGATATATACATATATACGCATATTCTAATCATACCCACGCTACGTTCATTAATCTGGCATGAAAGCTTGAAAGTTCGTGCCACACCAATACTAATATGTCTGTTTTTGGCAAAGTTACTTAACGGATTCAGCATCATTGCTGTTTTATAATTGATAGTCCATTCCATTTTCATTCTTAACCTATGTATGTCGCATTCAATTCGTATTTGTATTAGGTTCAGTTATAAGTTTGCGAGAGGGAGGGGGGGGGGGGGGAGAGGGACACATAATCTAGACCGTTATAACTAAATCTTAGCAAAACTGCAAGGCTTGTTTATATGGCATTACGCTATATAAACAATTTTTTACGTTATTTATTCGTGTGCTGACGAATTAAGAATACGGAGTGTCACCACCCCTATTCAACCCGTGGGTGTCGTAAGAGGGACTGAGGGAGCAAATTACGCAGGACCAAAGCACTGCAAAGAGAAGGAAAACTTGAAACAAATCCTATACCAACCCGTCTGGCCAGCGTGGTATAGTAGGTCAAAACCTCCTTTCTAAGGAGAGGCCTATGTCCAGCAGTGGACTATTAAAGGCTGTTGATGTGATGTGATGATAGCCTTATACTAGGTTATAAAAAACACAATAATTACAGTAAATAATAATATGTAAAATGCCGCTTGCAGCTTTCAACATTTACAAGTATTGAGTTTAAATTTAATCTCCAACTAAACGCCACATTAACCCACTTAGTTTCTGATGAGAAAGTTCGCTTGAGAGCCGTCGATAACTAAATTATAACTGGGTCACAACTTTGACTCGGTACAGTTTTGTTCATAGAGTAGTACCTTAGATTGTATACATAGATGGTAGCAAATAGGTGTAGATAGAATTTATGGATGTATTACTCTCAGTTGTAAACGCAATAAATCTTCGTAGTAACTGAGTGCTTTTTCATACAATAGTATCACATGCTATACTGAGCATTCTTTTATTTTAAAAACATTCTCAGGTACTTTATACTTCACCAGGGACTTCCTTTCTAGGGTATACCTGATTCCCCAGCTATTAGTACCCGAGACGGCGTGCGGTTTTAGTCGGTTCGAGTCCGACATGCCACCGATAGGTGGTAACCGAGGGGAGGGGAAAAAAAAAAAGAAAAAAGAAGGTACTTTATACTTTTAAAATAAGACCTGTGTTCTGCGACCCACCTGATGAAAAATGACGAAAGTAGTACACACTAATCCAAGACTAATCTATTCACTAAGTTCTTAAATGCTCCAGGATTGTAATTGTTGAAAAAAATGAGATCATGGCGATTTGAACCAAAAGTAGAACTTTTTTATTTCGACTTTTTTGTTTATCGACAAGGAAAGACGAAACTTCTACCTGCGTCTAATGGTCGGATGAAAGAAGAGTGTGAGTTCATTTAAATCAAAGTGAGTTTATGCACACTCAACTAAGTGAACCCGATCAAAAACTGATAAACAGGCCTATTTATTTACAGAAATCCAATTGCTTATAAAACTAAAATAACTAAAAGTTAGAATAAAAAGAAACATTCGCTAGAAGTCATCCAATGAGTGTACGGAGTTTGATGTTTTACATACAAAACTAAAGCAGGTTATATAAAATGGTATAAAATACATTTAATATATTTAGGTAGTAAATTACATGTGCTTGGCTAAAATAACTTTCACATTCGTCTCCTTGGTCATCCACTCATTGCTGGAGATCATGACTTCGCCTTAGACGATCAATGAGCTACCTCTAACTTATCCAGAGAAAATTCCAGCTGCTCGAAGATCTAGTCCTACCACCTTTTCGGGTTCAACCTCTAGGTCTTTTGCTTTCTTGCCCATCACTACCACTTTTTCTAAATGGTCGGCTTCTATTCGGGCAATCAATAAATAACGAAATATACAATTATGAACACAATGTATACTCAAAGCCCTTTTATTTTTATGATCAGCAGTAAACGCCTAATCCCCCTTACGTAAAGCGAATCACCTAACCTAATATATTAAGGTAAGTATTGTAGTACACAAATATTGTTCAAACAACCTAAGTTTACACAGGATGAGCGATAAAAGTACCTCTTATATTGCTGAGTGGAGCAGCTTACAGAATGACACATCGTAACGGTAGTCAACTGAAGTGTATTGTTGCAAGAAAATTTATTCATTTATTCTGTTTAATGCTGGGTATTTGATGACGGCATATTTTTGTCTGATATTTTTTTGTTAATATCATTGTTAATGATATTAAATCTCCATATTTCATCTAATCCAAAATTAGGCAGGGCTTTATCATTATCATTTTAAACAGCCTCAAACAGTCCACTGCTGGTCAAAAGCCTCTTCTTAGAAAATATGTTTTGGCCTACTATACCACGCTGGCCAGACCGGTTGGTATAGGGTTTATGTCAAGTTTTTCATATCTTTGCAGTGCTGTTGTTCTGCGTAGTTTGTTTTGTGTAAGGAGTTGGCTCTTACGACACCCACGGGATGAATAGGGGTGGTGACAGTTTGTATTCTTAATCCGTCACCACACGGAGAGGCAGAGCTTGTTGTGATAACTAGACTGTTGATAAACATACTAATATATTTCTAAATAAATGTTACAGATAAAACTTGAGCAACAGTTATGAATGAAACCTAGAAAAACATTTATGTTAAATGTTTTTCTAGGTTTCGCAAATATCTTACAAGCTTTAATCCAAAATCTACCTTAATTACAATAACAGTTAGTTTGATTTTCAGTACCTGTATATGTCAATTCGTTGACATTACCTTTACTGTTGTCACTAAATTGAGTGACTGTTTTTCAATCCCTTCCAATTTCAAACTACTAACAACATTGACCGACTTATAAAAATATGACTACAGATCAATTATTCAATCTAGTGGACGGAATTTGGTCGTGTTTCTTTAAATTTTTAAGTATCATACAGGTTCTTTTTTCAAATAATTGCTGTATCTATAATTTCAGGCATTTTTATTCGAAAAGTTTCTTTGAACTGAGTTTAAACTAAAGATAGATGTATTTTAATTTTATTTTCACAAGCTTTTATTTAATTTATAATATCTGTGAATATGTTTGTTCGTGATAATTATCTTAAACCTATTTTTCTAAAAATAAATAAATAAAAGAAAGAGCTAAATAAATATACCTACTTACTTTCTCTATAGAAACTAAACAACTTAAATTTCTGATACATATTATTTAATCTATACTAATATTATAAAGCAGAAGAGTTTCTTTGTTTGTTTGTTTGAACGCGCTAATCTCAGGAACTACTGGTCCGATTTGAAAAAATATTTCAGTGTTAGATAGCCCATTTATCGAGGAAGGCTATAGGCTATATATCATCACGCTAAGACCAATAGGAGCGGAGCACCAATGAAGAATGTTTCAAAAACGGAGAAAATTTATTACTATTGAGAGACGCAGACGAAGTTGCGCGGGTCAGCTAGTGTTATAGAAACAAGTTAGTATTACTACGTAAAGTCGATTATTACTTAGAACAGACTGATTCATCTTGATTTATTCTCTTCTCCAGAAATAATCCTCCTTGTGTACATTGTGTCAATCTCAAAGGTTGTTTTTTTTTTCAGAACGAAATTCCATCAACTTCTTTTATCTATTTACATAGGTAATTAATTTACGTTTTATTTACGTTGCTTTTTTCATTTTAGAAAGATATCTTTGTTTTGTTTATTTTTGTATTTTGGTTTGTTTTCTTTTTAAGACAAATCCCGCATTAGGAATATATCCTGTTTGGGGGGGACTTTACAAACATACATGAAACGGACGCAAAGAACACCCAAATTTAGAACAACAATTTGTGGATCACACAAAGTGTCGTCCCATGATTGGATCGGACCCTTAACCAGCGACCACTTAAACCACTACGCCATCCGTGCAGTAAATCTTAAAATTCACCGATAATTTTGTGTTTACTCTTAAAAAAACGCATCTTTTTAAATTATGAATAATTTAGAACACACAATTAATTTTCAAATTTAGATATTATTTTTAATTCCTCCGTAGTTGCATGGATCTCCAGAATAAGACATTAAAATGCACGTTTTATTCTTTCGCGATAAACTTTCCTACATATATAAAAATTATAGTAGCTATTCATAAATAGACCTTACGTCTAGTTCCTCTACAGCTATATTCTCTAAGCAAGCCATATCTTTGGTCACATATTTAAACTGAAATTTATCAGTTATTTTACTTTAAATTCCAGGAGCCAAACACTTCAAAACCTGACACGCAAAAGTGCCGTACCAAAGTGCTATTAACGTTAGTTCGGTGCCAAACGTCTTACACAGCGCTTATGCATGAGACTGTGAGGTTAATGGGGATCCAATGTGCAGTATCTCGTGAAGGATAGTGCCAAAGTTTTGCCAGCATCGTGTTCCGTTGATGGTTGTGTAAATATTTTAGGGATAATGTTTGGGAATATATGTTTCTGTGCCTTATCGAAAACTAGCTTACTGTTTGAATAACCTATAAAGGTTCGTCGGTTGTGAGCTTCATAAGTGCTTAAGTTACCAATAGTTAATAATTTATATCCAGAAAGATACAGCAAGGAACTTCAGTAAACTTTTTGGTGTGGTATTTTGATTTTTACTGTTGGTCTAGAATTACCGCTGCTGCTTTTTATTGCTACAGGGGTAAATAAGTTGTCAAGTCATTAATTCCCCCCACCCATCAACCCAAAGTAAGGGAAAAGGATTGGGTTCTCTCATAACCTCATTCTCTTGGTGAACAGCAACGAAATAATTGCTGAACACCAGTTTTCTGTGAATCCGTGGTATCATTCCGGTCGAACGAATGTCGAAGCATGGCTCTCCCCTTTCTTCTGGCTTGTTAAGTTTTACACTTTCAAAATTACTTTGGTAAGTTTAATAAATTCTTGTTTATTAAAAACCTAACATTAATAACAGTGATATAGGGTTAAGTCAAGCACACGATTTGTGCATAGAAGATGCCAATTGAATGTAGGTTAAAGGTAATATAGGCAGCCTATTGAAAATTTAATTATTGAGCAAGAAACGTTCCTAAAATATTGAATTATGTGATTGAGCTAATGAATAAAATATTTCAAAGACTTACCTTCCGGCACAGCCAAGGAAGTCAGCAAGAAGTGTACACAAGCAGCTCCAGTCCCATGACCCATCAAAGTCACGTTGGTAGGGTCCCCGCCGAAGGCTGCCACATTTTCTTTGATCCAGTGCAGAGCTGCGATCTGGTCCATGAGGCCGTAGTTCGCTGGGGACCGAGGGAAGTCATCCGAGCGCGGGTTTAAGAAACCTGAAGAAGAAAATTTGAAGTTATTCTTTTGAAACCTGAAGTCGAAGCAGCAAGTTCTAAAAAAAAAGACGTGTGGCACTCGGGAACTGCCGCGGTAAAGCTATTGCATAGCATTTTTTATCAAGTTATGCAATTTTGTGGGTATCTCAATGCAATCATAAAAAAATAAGTCATACCTCGAAAATACCCCCCCCCCCCTCGCCCCTCTTTAGAAGAACAGACTGAAGTGTTGTTATATGTTAGGGACCAGATTGTTCGTCTCCTTTTCCCGGTTCAGACGATCCCAAACATGGGGGTCCAAATACTCCAAAAAAGTTGAGGGGAGAGAGGGGGAGGTATATTGAAGGGTACTCAATGCAATTATAATTTTTTGGTAGGGGGGGGGGGTATTGTATGTGGATGTTATTCCATTAATAAAAGTTCTGCTATTCATCGATAGATGGCAAAACTAAAAAGTATCACCGCTGTCCCGTTCGGAGTGTTAGGTTATTTTCGTTACGGAATTTCTGGATTCGGTCTCCACGTTCAAGGCCCGCGATAGAAGCTATGCAATAGCTTAAAAGAAATTAAAAATAAGTTCAGTAAAAAGGATGTCCAGAAACCGTTCCGTATTTAAAAAGAAAGTACATAACCTCCTTTTTAATGAAATGGCAGAATTATTTAATCTATAGTGCAGCAACCAATTTTCCTATATTCATAGTGCACGAATATAATATAAAAATATTTGTTTATGTTTATATGTAAATACATATATCTATGTGTGTTTTGTATATATTATATATTTTATAGTGTGTATATTGTAATATAAATTTATGTATGTAGTGTCGTGTATGATTTAATTGTTTAGTAATGTAACCTATGTACAGCTACCACTCACGATTTCTACACCACCTCAAGGTTGACTGGAAAAGAATTCCCTGGGCATTATAGTAAAGGAGCCCTACATACAGGGGGGATCGTCTAAGATGTCGGGGCACCAGGGACTTCCTTTCTAGGGTATACCTGGTTCCCCGGCTATTAGTAACCGAGACGGCGTGCGGTTTTAGTCGGTTCGAGTCCGACATGCCACCGATAGGTTGTATCCGAGGGAATTTCCGCACGGAAAAAAAAAAGAAAAAAAAGGGGAGCCATTGATTCTAAATGGGGATTTAGTAGAGGGTCATGGGGACCTGAGTGGAGGTGTGGTCTGAACCCCACATGGGACGACATTTTGTGTGATAAACAAATTGTTGTTCTAAGTTTGGGTGTTCTTTGTGTCCGTTTCAGGTATGTTTGTAAAGTCCCCCACTATACAGGATATATTCATAACGCGGGAGCTGTCTTTAAATATAGAAGAATATATAACCAAACTTAAAACTTAGTAGAATATTAGTAGCTGCTTAAACTTTTGTAGTCTCAGTTTAAGCAGTTTATTTTGATTTTGAAACTATTTCTTAGTATTTAGTCAAACAAATGACTTCATCTTGGAGTGTTTGAGAGTTATATCTAAGTTATGTGTAATTTAAGGATAGATTATTACGATTCATATGACCTAGAAACAAAGCAGCTTATAGTCACTCATATGTATCCCTTTTTTTTTTTTCCGTGCGGAAATCCCCTCGGATACCACCTGTCGGTGGCATGTCGGACTCGAACCGACTAAAACCGCACGCCGTCTCGGGTACTAATAGCCGGGGAACCAGGTATACCCTAGAAAGGAAGTCGGTCGGGTCATCTACAGACAAGTAAAGACAAGTGTGCTCCCTGGAAGCGAGCGCGCTTCGTAACGCGCTCGCCGCCACCCCGGCCTGCTTCTACTAGGGTGATAGATGGCCTCACCTGTCACCCCCAGGCCTGCGCTTATGGAGGACGTTCTGCGACCTCCGGCGCCTGAGTCGCCTGCGGTACCTGGCCCGTTCCCGGGCCTGGCGGGCCGGGAGAGTAGGCTCATATATATCCCTAAGGGGTAGGCAGAGATGTGTCACGTATATCTTTATAAAATGATCTATGTGACTGGATCGGCAGTCACGCTTTGTTCGGTTCTCGCACAGATAAAATATTTGAACACTTGAATATGACTATTTACTCTTTGGTATAACTGTTTAATGTTTAATGTAATATTTACGAAGAAAAATTTATATCATTTTTAGAACTCCTATAATTTAAATTTAGTTTGGATTTTAAAAGAGATGTGTACTTTTTTAAATATTATTATTTTGAAAGTTGACCTTTGTGTTATCTTTACGGTTTTAAGTACCAAGATTGTGCCAGCGACCTTATCTTAATCGTAATAGGTTAGATATTTAAAACACAACGGAATTAAAAATATTAGCTTGATAATTATTTATCTTATTTATTTATATATACCTATGTATGTATTTACAAAAAAAAAGTATTTAAGTATTATATATTCAGTCCAACTTTTAAAGTACAAGCTCTGCTTAGTTTGAATCTAAATGGCCTTATGTGTCAGATGTCCGAAATATTTATTTATTATATTTCAGTTTGGCACAACAGAAAAAAAAAATACGATTTTAGAACCTAGGTTAGGTAGGACCTTTTCAGACTCAACTGACTGAGATTGATGAAAATCGTCTAATATTGAATACTAACTTTTATTTATTTTTAATACTTAGGCCCTTCATAGTTGACAATATAATAGTTTACATAGTAACAGTCGGACAATACGCCAATTACGAAGTAAAGGGTCTACCAAAAGGGATGACCTGGTTTTGACAGCTCATAGTGGCCATGTTTGATGATGGATCTTTGACGTCTCTTGACATTTGTGTTCAGTAAGGTTTGACATTTAGAATGTCAGGTTTCACTTTAAACCAACGCTTGGAAATTGTAAAAAACTTCTTTGAAAGTGACGAAGGAAACCCTGTTACTGTGAATGGCGAGCGCTATAACTCGATGTTAACCGAATATTTCTTTCCGGAATTTAATGATATTTATGCAGACGACCTTTATTTTCAACAAGACGGTGCACCACCTCACATTACTCGAGTGAACATGGAATTATTGCGTGGAAAATTTGGTGAGTCGTTAATTTCGAGAAATGGACCGATCAGTTGGCCACCAAGATCGTGTGATTTAACACCGACTATTTTCTTTGGGGTTACGTTAAATCTAAAGTGTACAGCAATAATCCAGCTACAATTTGTGACCTAAAAACCAACATTCGACGAGCCATAGCCGACAAACCGGCCGAAATGCCGGCCGAAACATAAATTGCATAAAATTGTCTATCAAATAAATCAATAGGATGCATTTTTCATAAAAAATTGTGTATTTTATTCAATTTTTAAACCAGGACGTTCTTATTGGTAGTGTACACATTAATTAGAGAAAAATATACTTAAAATATAGCTCCGCTATATGTTATTGTGGCAATTTCTGTTTATGAGTCAAAATTGGAATAATTTTACTTTTGTACTAATTTTGGAGAGTGTTAAAATAATTCAGTGACAATAAACTGTTATTGTAATATGAATGGATGGTGACATCTTGATTTAGTTGGTTGTTACAGACAGGGTAACGAGTGATAATGCATGTCGGGTACACCGTATTCTAAAATATGTTGCAGTCGAACTTATTGTTGAAGACATCGTACAAGAAAACCATATCTACGAGTACGTTACATAATATATTTATGTTCACGGAATTTACACGCTCACTATCGCCATTATTAATAATAATAGTAATAATTTCTTTATTTTTGTTCTCTCACACAGACTGATACATAGGTACTAGCTTAAACTAGGAGTAGTAATTAATATAATAAGATTATATCTATGTGGTATCTGTACTAGGAGACCTGTATGACAGATTACCAGTCTCTCCAGACTTTGGACAGTTGGATTCAGGTGAGTAACATTTTATTACTATGCACTAGGTTTGTGTAAAATCATTGGGTTGAGAGGATGTGTATTATTATATGGTATTGTTCGTTGTGCGTGTGTTTGTGTGTGTGTATATGTACGTGTGTGCGTGTTTATGTGTGTGTGTTAGCAGGTATATGAGTGTTTCCTGGTAGATGTGTGTTTACTTTCATCTATTATTATTGCCGTTATTTTAATTGCATAATACATTTCGAACAGTTTGCATTGGCCGTGGTCACAGACTCACCGGTTCAGCGGGGAGTGCCTGAATTCCCGTAAACATTAATTACAGATACAGATATTGACGAGGTGTTACTGAATATCAGCGCTGTTTCGAAGTGGTTCAACGACATCTCCTTTTAATGAACAACGCTACGCAATTGTACAGCAAACATCTTATGTACCTTTATACTATGTTTTTGTATCTATATAAATTATTAAAATTGTAATTTATAAACATGCTAATTATTACTGTATTTAATAGTACACATAACACAAATCACATCAACAGCCTTTAATAGTCCACTGCTGGACATAGACATCTCCTTAGATAGGACGTTTTAGCCTACTATAGCACGCTGGGCATACGGGTTGGTATAGGATTTGTGTCAAGTTTTCTTTCTTTTTGCAGTGCCGTTGTCCTGCGTAGTTTGCTCCCTTAGTCGGCTTTTATAACACCTTAATACTACATTGTATTCAAATTCGTTACATGTTACAATACTATATATATTTTTATTATGTACAATAATATTTTTATTGTGTTGCAATGTCATTTTTCTTTCATATTGTGAAATCTCATTCACCAATATTTTTTTCATGCTGAATGATTTAGTGAAAAATTATAATCTAATTTCATAAATAAACTTGATTTTTCAAATTTTAATTTCAAACCCAGAGATAGTCAAATTATTTAGATTTATGATATCAGCAAAGAGATGCCATAATATTTTTTTTGTTCTACACAAGTTTTAATAAGTAAAGCATTATTTTTTAGCAAAACAAATGGGATAAGTATAAGTAGATTTTGTTTTTAATATTTGATATTTAGGAAGACATACATGAGATTATGTGACTCGTGAAACGATTTGTATAACGCTCATAGAAATATGTTTAGTTTTTTTTTCGTTTTTAAAAAGT